ATATATGTATAGGTACCAATTAGCAGTAGTTTGACCTTTTATGTAGTAAAATGTAAGTAATTGCAGAAGTAGTTTTAGTTCGTTACGCGTTATAAGCTACTTTTATATCCAGTATGTACCTAATAATTTAATACCCTATCTACACTAATATTATAAAGAGGTAAAGTTTGTAAGTTTGTGAGTTTGTTTGTAGTGGATAAATTAAAAATCCGATTAGATGAAATTTGGTATGAAGATAGTGTGAGACCCTGGGAAGGACATGGATAGGTTTAATTCCGTAAATCTTCCCTTAAGTAAGTGAAAAGAGGGAAGAAGTTTGTATGGGGTTAATATTTGGTTATTATTTCTCGAGTAAAGGATATGAAAGTCATCACAAAACCGCATCTCAAAAAAACCACTGGAGGGATTTTGATGAAATTGGGTATGGTGATAGCAGATTATCCGGGTCAACATATAGGATACTTTTTATCGTGGGAAAATGTCTCATTTCTGAGAAAAAATACTAAAACTGCAACGTAAGAGTATACTAATATGTAAAACCTAAGAATTTGGTTATTCGTCATCTGATCGCGGGCGGAGCCGCGGGCAATACTATATAATATACAGTAGATAGTATGAAAGTACGGGTTGAAATGGCAATGGTTATGTCATAAATAATCATAACGCTAACATATTTTTTTAGATTTCTATTTTTCAACGTAGTCTAAGCTCCAAGGTCGCTTTGATCTCAGTAGGAAGTATGTAATTGTTAAAAATTTTGATCGAAATGTTTTCAACTGTTTTGTAATGATAGACGTGGCAAAAGATAGAAAAAGCCTAAGAATTAGTTACTTTTATATTTTTTTTGTTACTAGTGAAACCTGATATCGTGGTGCTTCGAGCTTGCTTTTACAATTTTCATTCGAAAATCTAAAATGTTACCTAGATTTTCATTCGTTGCTAGCGAAAATTTTATTTTATAACGCAAGCTAATAATATATGGGCAGAAAAATTTGAACTAACTAGAAGTTTTAGATAAATGCATGTTAAGCATCTAGAGCGTATTTTTATAAAGGATCGATTCACATCAAGATGTATATAGTAGACCAAGTCTAAAACAATTAAGTTTTCAACTACTGTTGCTACTAAGACGTGTAACCTTCGACTTCATTTTCGTCTGGGAACTTCTGTAGATGGGTAAAAAGAGTTCTAACAAAATTTTCCCTTGGCCAGAGAAAGGTAAGTGGGTGTAATTTCCATTACCTAGGCTTGAGTCTTACAAAAACTAAAAATACATGTGATCTTATAGTGAATTAAAGAAGAAATAAGTTGAAGGTAGAAAAGTAATTGTTAAATGAATAAGAATTTTATATTATCTATACTAATATTATAAAGAGGAAAGATTTTTTTGTTTGCTTGTACCGAATAAGCTCCGAAACTACTGAACCTATTTAGAAGAAATTTGGTAAGAAGATAGTTTGAGACTCTGGGTAGGACATAGGACAGTATTTTTGTATGAACAATATTAAGAATAACATAAAGCCCAGAGTGTTTTTTGTAGATTGAACGCAGGCGTAGCCACGGATTCTTCTAGTATTTTTATAAATATCAATTACATACCTTTATTTTTTTTATAAATATTAATTTATAAAAAATATAAGTAACTCTAAAAAATCGTTTAGATTTATGATGTAAACTATGATGTAGAATGTTTTTATAAGCATTTTTCTTCAAAATTGAAATAGGTTCGTAATTCCATAAACAAAACCATTCAAAAATACCAATTAATCCTTAAGGCGGACCTGTCTTTTTAATTTATATAACAGATATATATATATATATATATATATATATATATATATATATATATATATATATATATATATATATATATATATATGTATATTGGTGTTACGCACTACTTATTTAACTTTACGTGGTCGTCCAGTGGTCAAAATTCGATTATAATCATTACACATGCACATCACATACAAATATATATATATATAAACATCAGTAGCTAATTTGCTCGTCAATAGCTAACAAACAAACGAGAAAAACGTACTGGATTGTTTTGCCTTTGCCTATTTATAGATAGATTATCAAACTTTCTATGAAGTCATTAATAATCATTGTCGAATTAATGATGCTCGAATATTCTATTCAGAAAAGAATTTATTAATGAAGTCAGGAATGAGGAAATTAGGGGAAATGAAATAAATGTGTGTAATAATTGGTCACGCGAAGCAACTGTGTAACGATTGTGAGGGCTTATTTATTATCATAAAGGGCTAATATATTATGAATATTTTCGTGTGTTTAATTTGAATATCAGTTTTTATTGTAATCAGCCCTTTTTAACTGCTGAGCTTGGGTCTCCCTTCAATACGAGGGGGATCAGGCCATAGTCCACCTCGCTGGCCAAGAGCGGGTTGGCGGACACATATCTTTTGATTTGCAAGGTTCTTTAAACATGCAGGTTTTCTTACCATGTTTTCCTTCACTGTTAAGACAAGTGGTAATCATGATGGAAATGATTCGCATATAAAAATATCAGAGGTGCGAGACTCGGGATTTGAATCCATTTCACACAATACGCAGCATAGTCCACTTAAATAAGGTCTGAAATTAAAATATCGATAAAAAGGTTGCATTTTCAATTGAAGTTTGTTAAAAAAACTTTGAAAACTAAATGAAAGTAAAGTAAGAAATAGCTGTCATTTCCAGCAAAGGTCAGAAATATGGCGTCTAAAATATTATAAATGTTTGTACGAAAATTTTTAGAATATAAAATTTTATTTCCATTGATTTATATGATGCTTATATAATATCAGATTATTAAAGTTGCAATAAAAATCGTAAGTACCTACACTGTACACCAATAAAAAGTAGCATATATAACTATTCAATCAAGAATACAAACTACCTCAATTTCGAGTTTCACTAAAATTTGTTTAGCTGCTACAATGTAAAGAAGTAGCAAACAGGACAAACATAAAGACTTGCAAATTTTCACGATTATAGTATAATTACTGAGATAAAAAAAACACATTAATGATTTTTCAAATTCATAATTTACTAGCGACTCACTATCGCTCCGCTCGAGTTCGTCCCTACTTACGTTTATACGTTTAGTATAGATTTCTCAGAGATGAGATATTTTCCCGCAGTACAAAAAAATCCTATATGTTGACCCGGATAACCAGCTATCACCATACCAAATTTCATCAAAATCCCTCCCGTCGTTTTTCCGTGATGCGGTCATAGACAGACAGACAGACAAAAAGACAGAATGATAGATTCGGTCTCTGTATCGATTATAACGTCTATTTCAATAAAATTCTCCAATGAAAAAAATTTATGTAACAGATTCGACTTAGTTACAATTTTTTTTATATAGAATATGTAAAAAAAAGATAAGCGTAGCGACAAGCGAGTTCGGGTGCTCTAACGATCATCGACTAGATATTCATTTTATTCAATAAAAAATAAGAATAACGGTAAAGGTCAAAAGAACACGAAAAATCCATTTCACGTTATTTTTCTAACGAAAAACTATTCACAAACGCAGCTCTTTGATATCATAAAGGTAGGAATATTTTATTATGTATACAAATAAATAAAATTGGACTGACAGTTTGTAAAGTCAAAATAACTCAAATAAAATTACAAATAACATATATAAAATAAAAATGCGTAAGAAAGTATATACGGTATTTATAGGAAAAAAAGAAGTTTTTTTAAATGTTTGTCGGTCTGTTCCAGGTAATCTAAGAAACGGCTGGACGATTTTTTACGAATTATTAAGGGAATATGATTCACATAATATTTTCTTAGATTTACGCGAATATTTGACATTCTAAATAAAACTATCTTTTCGGATTTTACCTTATTTTGATGTTTTGTTCCCGACATTTCGAATGCTTTACAGCAATCATGGTCACGGGAGACTCAGTCTCTCAGACTCAGATTGTTAGAGAAATTCGCGAAAAAATCTGAAAAGATAGTTTTATAAAATGGGTTTATGATTATTACGGAACTTTCACTAGCAGATATCTGAAGTTATAAGGAGTAACTTAGGCTACTTACTAAATTAAAACCCATGAAATCGTGTACAAAATCCGCGTACCTACAAGCATACCCGAGCGAAGCCAGGGTAAGTCGGTAGTATTCCCTAAATTACGTAACCAAATGACATACTGTAAAGGGCAAATGCTATCCTATTGTACTTTTGATGTTACAATATATATTATTAGACTTACCAGGAATCAGATTATCCAAAAGACAGACAATTATTCCTCCCACGAAAATGGACGTTGACAATAACACCTTATAGAATAACTATATGTACTAAATACTTGTGTAAATTGAACTTTAAATTACATTGCTTTACTAATTATGTAATAATAGAAAAAACATATATAGATATCTGTAAAGATACATAGCATCGCTGTATGGTTGTGCCCTAACACTGTTAATTTGTGTATATTGTTAAGCCGATCATGTACACTTATAGTGTGGTGAAATGTATTGTAGTGAGGCATAGTGTAAGGTAGTATATTATAATTATATAATATACTAGCATTGCCCGCGGCTCCGCCCGCGTTCAGATGATCAAAAACCAAATTCTTAGGTTTTACATATTATTAGTATACTCTTACTATGCAGTTTTGTATTTTTTTCAGAAATGAGATATTTTCCCGCGGTAAAAAGTATTCTATATGTTGACCTGGATAACCAGCTATTTCGTCATTCGTCAAAATCCCTTCAGTGGTTTTTTTGTGATGTGGTAACAGACAGACAGACAAAAATTGTAGATTTGGCCTCTGTATCGATAATAATGTCTATTTTAATAAGATTTTATAAAAAATATTTAATGTACAGATTCGGCTTAGTTACAATTTTATTATATGTATAGTAGGTAGATTGAAGTGTAGTGACGTGTAGTGTAATATGTAGGCAAGTCATCTGCCACACCACATTGAGCGCGATGAGTCCGGCATGTCTGAGAGTTTGTGCTACGGATGCATTGCTTGATGAATGTGTTGTATTGTGTAGTGTAACGTGGTATAAGTAAATAGGTGTATGACGCCGCCGTGCGCCGCCATCCAGCGCGTGAGCAAGAGCGGAAAGAACTGGCTGAAGCCGATGATGTAGAGGTTTCGCAAGCTGTTCAGGTTCACGTACTGAAGGTAGGACAGACCTAAATATAAAAGAAGCCAAACTTAAAAATTAATTAATTATTATTAATAGTTATTCTTATTATACGTTAAATGGTTGTATATGATCGAATAAATTTGAAGAAGAATGTAAAGCTTCACCTAGAGCTCTGCCTGTTCATTTTGGCTAATTTTTCGGATTTTATGAGAGTGAGTGAATAGATGATGCCCATTTGTTTGGGTATACATTTAAGCTATATAATATTTTCCATTTCGGTAGGTTGAAAATCAGCTTAGAGTATCTATTAAGCTAATTTTTTACCTACTTTTTATATACGTACTATAGGTAATAAATAAATACATGTACCATTAGTTCATTTTTCGTGGAACTCACCGAACAAGGCGATCATTACAAACATGATGCTTGCGCGGCTGCGGGATGATGATGAAGACGGCTCCGAGCTTGCCCACCACGCCTTGCACCACCATCAGTCCCGCCGCCCACTGCACCACGCGACGTGAACTTACCTAACAATAGCTAACCATAAAGGGTCAAAACATAGATAAATACCATATTCAAATAAATATAGCAGGGACGGTGTTAAGGTGACTTGGGCAAACGCGTTCCAGAAAGTGACAGTCAATTATATCCATAATTTATTTTTAAATCCAGAAATACTTTGTACCCTCCGTGTATCCTAGTGATAGATTTAAAATTATTCTACGTGTAGTTGAAATAGGTTAGGTAAAGTGAGAATACCCTATAATTTAAATAAATAAAAAACCTTAACTTAGTTACACCAATTGCGCAGACATTTTCTCATCATCAAAAAAATATCATCATCAAAAAAAAGTCATCGGTCCTGCACCTTAACTTTCACCAGTGGTGTTGAAGTAACATCCTACCGAGCTTTGAGAGTGACAGTAATAGAGAGTGCACTTTAAGTCTGTGCGCATACTTATGTAGCATAATATCTTCTATGCAAATAGCTAGTGTCAGTCGCCTTGGTCGAATTCGGCTAGCAGAAAATTATTAGAAGTTTAGTCTGTAAATAGTGGAGTATCTTTCAGGCAACTCATCGCACATCCGGGCAGTGGTCGGGTAGTAGCTGATAGACTCGACGGTACACGCGAGCACTTCCGCCAACATCCCCAGCACGCCCGCCACGCTCGCCGTCGGCCATCCCCATTGACCGATCCAAATATTTCCTTCCTTAAATTTGTCTATGTCGGACCAATTTTAACTTTAAAATTCTTGTTAAGATGAACTATAAATATTTGACATTGATGAAGTAAAACGTAGAAATGTGAAAAATATTTTTGTATATTTTAGAGACATGCTATAAATCGTTGTGCCAACATTTTCCCAATATTTATGAAGGAAGTGACGAATAAGGACGCCGCCCCATTTCCGTTTCATTGAATTACCCTGTAACGGAAAATCTATATTGCAATATTTCGAACAACAAAATTTAACAATATCTAATAAAATAGCAGTGATAGCTCATTGGTAAGGTGTGCACTTAAAAAATCAAAAAAATGCTTTCAAATCCAGGACTTAGGTTAATTATGAGATTTTAATATAAGGGAGAATGAGAGAATCTTATTATTTCTAGAAAGATGTGTGCAATTTTAAACTGTAGTCCAACCCGTAGCTATTTTGCCAGCGTGGACTATCATTGGAGCGTTGGGCCTGATCTTCATTGAGAGGTATCTATCATTGTAACGTTTAAAAAGATTGAATTATTATAATTATTTATAATAAGAAAAGTATAAAAATTAATATTAAATGATATTCCAGGATAAGGCACTCTGAATCAGGTCGCGTCCTGGATGATGTTGATCGTGAGGTCGGTGCGCACCGGATGCTCCGGCGCCAGCGCGTCCATCACCGTCAAGATCCGCAGATGGCCCACATTATGGCTATGGGTAGTAATACCTGGTAAAGAATATCACATAATATGATACGTCTATAATTATCTTATAATATTAAATGAGAAAAAGCTCTAACAATTTGGATCAAATTTTGTATTAGGTTAAGATTTTACTTATTAAGTTTATCTGAATCAAAGTCTTTCCTAAAAAACGCGATTTTTCACGAAATAAACACTTTATTACTAATTAATTATTATTAATCATTTTCTTTGCTTGTTCTGCTCTCATCCTGACAATGTCATAAAGCGCCATCTCGTTAATGTTTGTGGTACTTGAATTATTTACAATGGATGATAACCTACTGAATGAGCGCCTACGCCGTGCGGATTCCTATTATACTTCCATTAATATTAGATACAAGCGATTATATATTATAGTACAAGCGATTTACCTTCCCTTCACTCGTATGCGTCTCTACGTGCCAGCAGTAGCTTAAGTGTTACTTCAGTTCATAGGCTATTTATGTATTAAATTTCATCTTAATTTATCGAGCAATTTTTACGTATGGGAGAAGTAAAACAAAAAAAAGTTTTGATTTATAATAATAGTGTCATTCAAACAAGTAAAATTATCCGATAATATGATTCTGTTAGCACAATAGCCTTTATAAAGTTCTCGTAGATACTAAGAAATGAAAATATAAACTAAGAAATGAAATGAAATATGAAATTTCAACTAAACTTACAGGGAAAAGCTTGAAAAGCGGAAACCATATAACAGTAAGTCCCGCGCCGCGCTTCCACGAGACCGTCGGTATCGTCACGTTCCCTATACATTGTGAAAATATTGTCAGCAGAATAAATGTTCTGTAACAAATAAACTTAAATATCTATTATAAGTATTATTTATGGTATCAAATTGCGAGAAATCAAAAAAAGAAAGCTATAATTGACTTTCTGATTCCAAGAATGACAGGAGTTGTAAAACTAGAATTCCTATTTAGTAATTCTGTGAAGTGTAATTTTGGAATACGAGGAAATTTGGAAGCTTAAAGTTCATTTTAAGCTTTGTAGAAAGCTTATTCATTTTATTTTTGTAAACATCAGATGTTATTATGTTATTTATTTAAAAAAAAGTTTAATGAAATTTTCTCTGCACTGTATATGTAGGTTAATAAAAATTTTTAGTAGTCTCCAAAACTCTTGGGAGGTTCAATTTGTTAGGTAACGTCGCTTGAACAACAAAGCTCTATGACAATTCAACGATGATGAAACCAATCAAATTATGTTCGTACAAAGCCTAGGCTCTGAGGCAACTCTATTGTGATATTGAATGCAAGAGTACACGGTCATGTAATTAGCTTTTGATGAGAATGTAATGCATAAAGAGAGTATTTCCTTTGTTGAAATATGCATGACAATCTCGCCCTTTGATGTATAATATGTTAATTGGAATTTTTTGAATTATCTAACATAATTTTTACTAATATTATTAAGCAACAGATTTTTGCTAGTATTCAGCCCTTTTTAACGTTCCACTGCTGGGAGTGAGCCTCACTTCAATATGAGGGGGATCAGGCCATAGTCCACCACGCTGGCCAAGTGTGGGTTGGAGGACTTAACATGTATTTCGAAAACTTGCTAGGTTCTCTCGGATTCTGACATACAGGTTTCCTTACAATATTTTTTTTCATTGTATTGAGTGGTGATCATATTGGAAATGATTCGCACATGAAAATATCAGAGGTGTTAGGGCCGGGATTGGAACCCGCTTCACTCAGTTTCCTAAGCGAGCGCGTTACTAGGCTACCACTTCCTTTGTTTGTTTGTTTGAATGTGTTAATCTCTGGAACTACCAGCCCGCTTTGATAAAATATTTAATCGTTTTACAGCTAATTTATTAAAAGGAAGGAATGCTATAGACTATCTTACATCACTGCGATCCCTTGAAGTGAGGAAATTTAAAAAATACAAAAAATAGTCTTGTACGAATATACATATTTTTTATGTTATATTTAAAAAATTAGAATTTATATAAAAAATATACAATACATAATATACAAGTTATATTCAAAATACAAGCAACCTTTCCCGGCTTTGCATATTTTCCAGTAGTAAAACAAAACTCAAATTATTCCACACTGTTTGCGACTGTAACATAATAAAATAATGTAAAATAATATACTTAGTTACAAATATACAACTCCACAAAATGTATTTCAATTAGATGACGTAAACTTTACTACTTTAATACAAAGCACCTTTTGCTTTATACCTACCTATTCGGAAAATTTTACTAACTTTTGTGTCACCCACTCGTAAAATCAGTACGTCATCAAAAAATAAAATCTGCTCTTCTCACCGCCTACACGTATTTAATAACGACATTTTACAAGAATATTAACGATTCAAATGTGGTTCTGTAAGTATTTTTTAACATTTTAAATAAAACTATCTTTTCGGATTTCTTCGTGGATTCATTAGAAATGTCAAACATTCGCGTAAATCTAAGAAAGTATTATTTATGAACTACTAGCGGCTCACTCTTGATTCGCTCCGGTTCGTCGCTGGGTACGTTTTAAATATATATAAATAGTTATTACACAGCGTTAGCCATATAAATTTTAATATGGTTGTTAAGTATTCATAAATAAGTATTCTTAAATTTTATAATTTTCGGCACAATTTTTTAATTTTTTTCTTTCATAAGAACCTTCTCCTGACAATAACAAACATACATAACATAAAAAAAAAGTTAAATCAGTCCAGCCGTTCACGCGCGATGGCGTGACCAAGGGAAATAGGGATTCATTTTTAAATATATAAGATGTATATTTTGAAGATGATTAATGTTTGTCGGCCACCACTTTAGTCTTTAAAGTAGGAACTTATTACCCATAACTTAATACAAACCTGTTGCTCGCATAAGTAATAGCATAATTTACAGGAAAACAAAATAACGAGGGTTTCCACCATTATTTACTAATGGACAATTTTACTAGAAGCATACTAATAAGTCACGCTACCAATGTTTACATTAAAACGATTAGAGAGACATGAAATGGTTTTTACTTTCATTGATTTGCACATATTTTAACATATAAAAGAAATTAAAAAAATATTATCACGTAACTTGGTCGCTTTGACTAGATGTATTCTCAAATCCTTGAACAATAGAAATAAAAAAGGGATGTTTTTCATCTCAAGACATTTTTTAAAATTTCTATTTATGAATTACAACTCGTCTAAACTCCTAGATAAATAATGTCCTCCCGACCGATTCCGGGCACGGCGGCCAATCTCACTGAGACTAGCCAACTGCGCAGGAGATAATAAAGTGCACAAGTGTACGCGCAGACACAACGTGCACTCTCTATTTCTTTTTACTCTCAAAGTCCGATGGGACGATAAAATTTTATAAGAAAAACTCAGTAATTAAACTTGGCCCGACCCGGAACTCGAACCCAAAATCTCCGGATCTGCAGCCGTACAAGCTAGCCAGTAGACCACCAAGTCAGTCAAGATAGATTAGTAGTTATAACGCCAACATATTAGTACGGTCTCATATGCTCTATATACATTTATGCAAAACGGGAAAATCTGTAGTGAATTAATGCGAATATCACACTCATATCACACACAAGACATGATGAAGCTAGCGGGATTACCTTTGAAACGTAGATTGTATCCCCGTTTGAAAGTGAGTTTCAAATCCACTATCAAAAAAATAGCTGGAATATTTTGATTGCGCAAAAAGACAACAAACTGGATACAATCTATTACTGAATCCAGACATCAAAAGTTGTTATGATTGATATTTTTATAATACTTTAAGTGAAAGACACTTTAATATTCCTATTTATAGCGCAAAAACAATTTAGGAAATATGCGTGATTTTTAAACCTCTTATACAATAGCTTACATCGTTATAATATTATAAAAAAATATCCAGCTCCAAAAAACTAAAATTTAGTATAAAAAATATATTTAAAAATATCATATTTAAAAATACCTTTATTTAAATCACACGCATACTATATTTTGTCAAAAAAACAAAGAAGCCCAAAAACAAATTTAAAAACAGTTATTCTCATGTTGTTATACTCGTAATTATAAGTTTTAATAACATAAAGCCAGGTAATGCCAATCTATTGCCTTATAAAAAAGTTTAAGGAAAATTCCAACTTGATGGATTTACTTAGTTTGGGATTCTAATTAGTTTTCCAAGTTTACGACCTAGAGTGACACCCTCTTCCGGTGCCGTCTCGAAAAATTGTACACGAAAATCAATAATATCGAAAATATCTTGTGTCCTAACTACCTAGGTAACAAATAAATACTTCTAAAGTTAGCAAGAAACCTGTAACATTTAATAAAACTATTTCAATTTCAATTTCTTGTTAAAGTTCAAGACTCGTAGCATAGTAATTTAGTGAAATTGTACAATTCTACATTTTTCATTCTCTCTTTATTTATTGCTGCATTTTTCTCCACATTTTAGTGAATACAGATTGCGGATACACCGTGCCGTTTTTATTAACACTTTTATTAGCTTTACCTGTATATATATATATATATATATATATATATATATATATGTATATATATATATGTATATATATATGACGTCACCTTTGAACGGAATTTTCTCCCACTTCAAAACTTCAGATTGAACTAAAACTTTGCACATTTCACAAGGACCGATGACAATAGAATAATTCATAAAGTTTTTTTCGCAATCGATATCAGTTGTTATAAATATTCCATTGGTACGATTTCTAAAAGTAGAGTTAGTATAAAAATATTGTGCAGCACCCCACGCTTTTTTCACAATAACATTAATTTTCTCTTCGTTATTCTTATACTAAAAATTTTTTTAACAGTTTATTTCGGTTCATCATTAGTGTTTTTTATTTTTTTTTTCCTATTCCTTCTCGCCATGACATGACCTTATGCAATCGTGACCTGCGCTTTTTTATATATATTTTTAAGATATTTATCTTTTTTGTGTAATTACTATCTCCTTTACCAGTTAGCACATGAAGGTCTCTTCTTCAATCTCACTTCCTTATAAGTAATCTATACTATAATAAAACAGTTAGAGGTCGAATGTCTGTACATAGCAAAAAATGCTAAAGACCGAGTCAGGGGGATGTAAGAAGACAAATAGACCAAATCCAGATTTTTTTCAAATTTTTTGTTTCTCTGTCTGTTTGTACGGGTTAATCTCCGAATCTATTGGACTGATTTAAATGAAATTTTGCATGGTGATACCTTATATCCCCGCGCAACATCTTAGATACTTTTTATCCCGCAAAATTAAAGAGTTCCCGTGGGATATTTAAAATATTATAGTATCTTATACAGCTTAGTACACAACAACTTATGCACCTAATTTAGTAAAATTTAACATTTTGTTACCTTATATTGCCAGTCAAACAACAGGTTACTTTCCATCCCGAAAAAATGAACGGTTCCCGTGGGAACTAATAGATCTCTATTAGTGTTTTTCTAGAAACAAACCCGAGCGAAGCGAGGGTAAGCCGCTAGTCCACAATAAATGCTTAGATCTACACTTTGACCATTGTTATATTCCTTTTCAACTATTCTAGAACCCACAAACCATGAAGAACAAACTTTTTATTATTGATCTATACTAATATTATAAAGAAGAGATATTTTTTTCTGCGTTGGTTTGTACCGTATAATGTAAATGGCTAATTTTTATTTTAAAATGTTGATATCAGCCCAAATGAGGTTTGTAAAGTAAAAGTAGAGAGAAAACTCAAAGATGAAAGATCAAAAATTAAAAAAATTTATGCATCGCATGAAGATAA